TATGACCGTATTTGTTCGAGTTTTTCAAATATCAAATCAAATCATTTGTGCTGGATTTTTAAATTTATAAAATAACCAAATCAATAACACTCAGATTTTTCAACCTCGGTTGTTTTGGCTTTTTTCATGGTTTCCGGATTTTTGGGTTTTTCCGATAAAGTATTCATATAAATATATAATTTGCTTGTAGTTAAAATATTTCGTTAGTCCTACCAAAATATAACTATCTAATGTGTTTCTTGAGAAAATAACACAAAATGTGACATGACTAATGACACTAAAATATCCAACAAATAATAATAATAATGAAATCGTATAAACAATTATTGCAAATTAATAAGTCACAATGAAAATGATCATAATTTAAAAGTACTAAATCATCATGCTAAACTAAGTTTAATAAGTATTAGTTGCATGACTAAATATTAAAGGAAATTAAAATTAGATTATGTATTTTAATAGTCTAAACCAATGTAAAATTAAAGAATAAATATTCAACATTATTCTCATTCTTAGTGTTGAATTGGTTTACTTTTTGCATTAGTATTAATTTGATTTTGATTTAAATTTTATTATAATTACCAACATCTGTGGATTATAATCTTTATTGGACCATTCAGAATTTCAAGTTTCAAACTTGAAATAATATATTTAAAGATAAAAATTATGAAAAAGCATAAAAAATATTTAAAATTTATATCAAAGTAAACATTTCTATGTAAAAATTAAAATTTTAAAATTATATATATTATGTCGGGTTGGTTTGATATGGGATTTTTTTTAGTTAAAACCAAATCAACCCAATTATAGTCAGATATATTTTTTTCAATACCAAACTAAGTCAACCAAATCACTAGTCGAGTTTTTTTCGATTTTGACTCGATTTGCATTTTTGTTCGATTTCGATTCGATTTTGTACACCCGTAATTACTATATTTTCTTGTCACTTTTACTCATTTTACTTCTTAATAAGAATTGCAAATACTCATATTTAGAGTATACAATAACATTTGCATCATTACAAGACGTCAATTATATTTTATAGAACCAACTTGCACAATATTACCACCTAAACAAGAACACAAAAAGATAAATTAAACAAAAGATCGAACTTTCTTATGATGAAAATGAATAAATCTATACATTTATTTACATGACAATTAATCACCAAAAAAAAATTATTAGCTAGTCATTTACCTCAAAGTGACTTGTTTAAATCAGGAACACACTTAATAGATTAAATAACATTTTATAATACACTACTTAAACACTAACAATTTTAGAAAATAATTTAAGTGGATAAACTGTCATTTGATCATCCGTTATAAATTAGGACAAGTCGCTTCGATAATTAGTCCGTTTTGATTAAATACAGACATGAATAACCCTTTATGTTTATGCAATTTAATTAGGAAAAGTACACTATAGGGATACTGGTATTCATTCATGCCCCATCCTAAATAAACATTACAATTCACAATTATCACAATATAATTTGAAAATTTAAACAATCTATTTTTTATAAAAAAAAATAATTTATTCCCCCCCAAAAAAAATAAGGTTTGAAACTAGCTGTTAGAATGTTTTCAACATATAAATAGCCTTAAAAAAATGAATATAAGAATTCAAGTACTAACACACTATATAGAAAATCTCCATCTTCTTCATCAAAATCTCTCTCAACCCAAGAAGATTAAAGGTATGCTTTAAAAATCAAATATTGATGGCAACAATGAACAATGGAAACAACAGCAAGACTTCTACAACTGCTGCTCCTTATGCCTTCAGCAAAACAGACGCAGACTACTGCAAAGACTATTAATACTCAGTATGTTCTTAAAACTTGTCTTTTTTAAAAAAAAACTCAAATCTTTGAATTTTGATGTTTATAGTTGTTGGGTGTGTTTGTATTTTTATTTAGGAAGGGGGGATTTGAATTGATTTTCTTGATATGGGTTTTTGATCTGTTTGTGGATCGGGGTTAGGTCAAGGGTCGGGACGGGGGCTAGGCGAGAAGGGTTGGGGTAGGGGATAGGGGTAAGGGGTGGGGTCGTGAGGGTGGGTAAGGAGGGGAAAGGGGGTGGGGAAAGAGGGTGGGAGGGGTAGGGATAGGGGGTAGGGATAGTAAGGGGGTGGGAGGGTTATGGGTGGAGAGTAGGGGGTAGGGGGTGAGGGTGGAGGGGGTTGGGGG